AAATAATTACTCGAATTAAGAGTATTATAATTTGAAACACTGTTTCTAACGACTGGTACTATATTTTTTAAATAACCAGGAACTAGATTATTGTGGATTTTAAACATTGTTAAAAGTTTAGCTTTGTCCCTTCTTTTTATAAGAGGTTCCCATCCTGTTTCAACATACAACGAGTTTCTTGACGGTAATATAGACAGACCTGTCACAATTCTTGCAGCGCTCAACTGAACCTTTTCAAGTTTTTCAATATCTGCAAACGAACAGCCTGACCAAACTTCAGATGCATACTCAAGTTGTGGTCGAATAAAGGAAACATAATTTTTGGATAAAGTATCTCTAGACACTGAAAATTTAAGTTTCTTGAGAAGTCCAAGTTTTTTGTAGCCTTTACTGACAATACTATAAATGTAATCAGTCCAGCCTAGATGAGAAAATAACACCAAGATGTTTATGTTGTGTTACATATTCTAGCTGACAGTTCCCAAAAAATAATGCAGGTAATTGATTTGTATTTTTTAAGCTGAAAAACACTGCTTTTGTTTTACTTGGATTAAATTTTAATAGCCATTTATTGGACCACTCATCCAGAATTTTTAAATCATGGTTTAGGTTATGTTCAATAAGGCGCACGTCACTTGAGCTTTCTTGTAAAGAGTTATCGTCTGCAAATAGTCTGCAAAGAGATATCATATTTTCGGCAACATCATTCACGTATGTTGGAAATAAAAGAGGACCTTGGACAAAGCCCTGGGGCACCCCAGCATGCACGTTTTTCACGGAAGAAAATAATTTTTTATGCATGACTTTTTGTTTTCTATTGATAAGGTAACTTTCCAACCATTCTAACATATGTCCTGAGATACCATACATTTTCAATTTATAAATCAATCCCCTATGCCAAACTCTATCAAAAGCTTTAGATAAATCGCAAAAAACCATACAACAATGTTTCCCTTCATCAATGCTTTTTACAATAGTATGATAAGTCTCTAAAAGTTGGTACACAGTTGAATGACCAGGCAGAAAACCTGCCTGATATTTGTAGAACAAATTATTTGTATGAAAAAAAATATATACATGTTTAAAAATAACTCTTTCAAATATTTTACTCACACAACTCAAAAGAGATACAGGTCTATAATTTGAAGTCACTGATGGGTCGTCTTTTTTAAATAAAGGTAGCACGTGTGCTAGTTTCCAACTTTCAGGATAAATTTTGAGACTTAGGGACTTATTAAATAATAAACAAAGTGGCTTAGCTATTGTTTCTTTACAAGATTTTAACATTTTGTGACTAATACAATCAGGGCCTACAGCTTTATTCAGGGGAAGGATAGAGATAATATCAATAATCTCACTTTCTTGTATGTGCAAGTCACTAAATCTTTTTACATCTTTGGATTCAAAAGCTGATAACTCATATTCTTCATCTTTTATATCAGAGATCGATGTAAAAAAATTATTAAGCAATTCAATTTTTTCTCTATCGGAAAATGCATATACAGGATCACCGTTACCATTCATTTGTTGAATAGGGGGTATTTCGCATGTAGTTTTAGCGTGAAAGACATCTTTTAATAATTTCCAGTATAATTTATTATTATTTTTATTTGCGTCATTTAGATGTGAATCAATGTTGTCATAATAATTTGCTATTGCATATTTCTTCATATTATTTACTTTGTTTCTAATTTTCCGGAATTTCTCTTTATCTGATTCTTTTTAGGTCTTTTGGGCTTTTTTTCTTAACCTATTGCGTAGTCGCATATTTCTTCTTAACAAAGAATCCATCCATGGTTTGTCATTGGGTCTTATCGTAACAGTTTTTTCAGGTATACATTTGCGTATAATAACCATAAATTGTTGCGTAAAGTTTGTTGTTGCGGTTTCGATATCAACAAGTTGTGAAATAATACTTTCCCAATCAAAGTCTCTTAACTACGGAAGCCGGTAGGTGCCTGGTAGAAAAATATTTTATCTGGCGGCCGCCAGAAAGTTATCTGGCGTCCGCCAGAAAGTTATCTGGCGGCCGCCAGATAAATATTTGGCGGCCGCTAGATAACTTTTCTGGCGGCCGCCACATAATTTCTGGCGGCCGCCATATCTTTTTATCTGGCGGCCGCCAGAAAATTATTTGGCGGCCGCTAGATAAGTTTCTGGCGGCCGCCATGTTACATGTAGTAAAAAGAGAAAAAAAAACAGTTCTACAATCTTTAACAGGTTGGACAGAATACTCGAAATCGGGTATTATCCGTGAAATCGCGTATAGTCCCCGATATCAGAGTATCGTTGAATCCGCGAAATCGGGAATCCCGTGCAACTTTCTGTAACAGCAAAAAATTTAAACAACGGCGCATAATGTCAGTTTGTGTTACATGTACATCAGTATCTTGGGGATTTATTTTTATTGAATCCAATTTATATGGTTGTCTGACAAGTTTAAAATCACACGACAAACACTGCTGGGGTAGCACAGAAGAACAGAAGACAGAACACAGAAGACACGGTAGCGTCATTATTTTTCAATAAAATTTCTAAAAATAAATAATTACATGTCGTTTGTGTTTATTTCCCAATATATTATTCCGCAAGCTTAATTTCATATTTCATGTATTATTTACAAAATGTAAAACTTTGTAGAAATTTAACGACTAACGCAGCGTTATTTTATTTTTACTTAGAAAAGTATGGCGTCCCTTAAATTAACATTATTCCTCAGTTGGTAAGTATTTCTCATCGATATAGAAAGCCGACGTTATCGTAAGGGGAAAATAAAATAAATGTTAAAAACAAAAACAAAAACAAAAAAAGAACATATGGGAAAGCAGGTCGAAAAATGATATGAAACAAATTTTAATACGTACATGTACTTAAATAGATTTTTAAAAGTATATACAGTGTTTAATTTCTAAAAACAAATAACTACATGTCGTTTGTGTTTATTTCCCAATAAATTTTTCCTCAAGCTTAATTTCCTAATTCGCGCATTATTCACAAAATGTAAAACTTTGAAGAAATTTAACGACTAACGCTGTAATATGTATTGATATACAGGTAAAGTAAAGATTATATAGTAAAATCATCAGTTCTTCCTATGATGTATGTATGCAGCGCAGTCCTGGAATTCTCGGGGGAAAAGAGGAGGCGCTAATTTTTAAGAAAACAAATTAATGTCAATTTAGCATGGAAAATTTCATTCAAAGACACATTCAATGTTTTGCTTGCATTTTGATCGATGCAAGCGACGTTACTTTACCTGTATGTGTTTGTGTGGAAATTGAGAGCAAGAAGTCATGTTAAAATGATTTTTTTTTTGGCTTGCATGGGGGGGGGGGGTTCATGTAAATAAAAAATCCAATTCGGATTCATGTGCTAATTTTACATTCCCAATATAGAGCTGATATTCAGATATGAATTTTATATTAAAGTTTTCACATATCTTATTTTGTAAATAATTATGAACAAACTGAAATGGAACCTCGAATGTCATCGGATATTAAAATTTCATACAAATTGGAACCACTGCCTTTTTTTATTATAATATTGGATAGACGATTAGATTTTCCCTTTTGTAGTATAGTTTATGGCATATCGCTTTATTATACCTTATTATAATATTTTACAAAACGCGTTGTTTGGTTCTAGAGAGTACGTCACGCGACATGGAAATGAAACTTCATAACTCAGTCTTTTCTATTCTTTTCATCATTATATTTGGCTATTTTCAATACTTGTCGTACGTGGTAGAAAATAACAGGTTGCTATTTTAACCTCGTATTGTTTTGGTATATAAGCAATTACTGCATGAATGTATTGGAGATATGAAGAATTCTATTCACTCAAAAGGGCAGTATAGGGAATATGATCTTTATTAGTTGAACAGATCTTCCCCCTTTATCATGCAATGGATATATAACATTCAATGACGTTTAACACCAAACTCTGCAATCAAATTTTATATATTTTTTTAAATTACTTTGAAAGGGGGTGTCCCTTGGACACATACATAACACATTGTCGTTTTTTGCTTCTCTGAGATGGGCCGAGTAGTTGCGATCGGACAAGAAATAATTGAAAAATGAATTTTCCCCTAGTAATCAGTAATAACAACCCCACCGAAATCGCCGAAAAATGGTAAAATATTGTTGACTCAGCAAAATTAAACGATCAATAGTTATTTTCTCTCACAAGCTGTGTTGCTAAGAACATCACTGTCGTTGCTAAAACGTTGGAGGCATGTTGAATCCTAAGGAAATTTTAATATTTTTTTTTTAATTACCTTTATTTGTCATTCTCTTTTTGTAAAGCATATGTACAAGATATATATGGAAGGAATGCTATTCTGCAAATATGTATATATGTAAATGATAAAAAAATCAACTCATGAAAATAGATTCGTGACCCCCCCCCCCCCCCCCCCCGCCCAAAAAAAAGAGTACGTGTTATATTGGATTTTTCCCCATTGAGAGCCTCAGTCTCAAATGAGATGAAGTTCAAGGTCACGTAATCATAGAAGTTGGTGTCTTTTCATAGTTCAGACGCGAGTTATGTTAGGTCCTTCTTTTCGGATTTTATCAATTAAATTTTTCACTGGATTTGTAACCGGTGGATTTTAGCAATATTGCTATTCAGAACACATGTTCTTTTGCGCTTTTTCCCATGTGGGAATATTTTAGCGTTGCACATTTTGTTCAACACGTGTTGATCACGATGTGCAGTACTTGTTTTCAGTGATGTCACTGATGCAGGGACTGTTAGCCCCTTGCGCCATTTGCTTTTACATGCCATGTGGTGTGGAGTTAGCATTTAAACGAATCAGATTTTTACTGTCTGTATTCTTTCTTTTTCGTCATGGCTAATGAGCCGGTGGACTTCGTAGATCAAGTTGACGAGGATGCTGCTCGTAATGATCACACGATGCAATCGAAGTCGAATTCTTCGACACCAGTTGCCATGCAGAGTAATATTTCTGTGAATGGTATGTTCGACATGTTTATGCGTAACTTTGCAGATATGTCAAAGACTATGTCATCAGTTCAAAAAGAACTTATTGCTTTGAAGTCTGATCGGTCCTCAGTGGATACAAGTCCGGACTATTCGAGGAAACGCGGACTGAACAAGAGTAGTTCGCCACCCCCTCGCAAGAAAACAAAACTGTCTAAAGTTTGTAACCGGCCTTCTCACGAACTTAGCGATGATGAATCTGATGAAGAGAATTCAGCTAAGTCGGATGCCGATGACGCACTCAATTCCCTTATTGAGGGAGGCGATAGTATTCATGGTTCATCAGATAATGATGAAGTCTCTGCTCTTAATGAACTGTCAGAATTTTTCGGTGATGAAGATAAGACAAGCGAGCCGTTAAGTTCTGAACTGGCAAAGATAATGGAGAAAATGTTCATGACCAAAACTAACTCGGAGAAAATTAAAGAAATCTCCAGCAAGTATGATAGGCCAAAAAACATTAACAATGTTTCTGCACCAAAAGTCAACAAAGTCATATGGGAAAACATGTCATCCAAAAACAGAGCAAGTGACATTAAATTACAGACTACCCAGAATCTTGTAGGAAAAGCCATGATTCCGACATTGAGACTGTTTGATATGCTCATTAATTGCAACTCGAAAAAAGGGTTGGTTGATGTTAAGAAGGCAAAACAGCTGTGTGGTGACATCTTGAAGTTTCAGAAATGTGTTTTCCATAACTTGTCTTACAAGAGGCGGGAACAAATTATCCAGCCTGAGAAAAACAAACAGTTTGTTAGTTTATGTTCCGCAGAGAGCTCGTCAGAAAATTTATTTGGAGACGACTTGGGCAGTCAAGTGAAGAATGTCCTAGAGGCAAAGAAACTTGCGCAAAAGATATCGAACAAAGATTATGGTGGGAAATACAGGATCCCCAAATTCTCCAATAGCTACGGGAAGAAGCCAAGGCATGGGGCCGGAAAGAGCAATTTTTTGGCCAAACAGTTCAGTTTCAACAAGAAAAAGAAGAAGGGGGAGTCAAATCAGTAGTTACACATGATGTTAGTATGTCTAATATTTGTACAATTGTAGATCAGTTTGTATTGAAGAACACGCCTGAAAATTTTACTGCAGGCAAAATCAAAATTTTTTTTACATAATTGGTGTAGATTGACTCATGATAGTTGGATTCTTGATGTTGTTAAAGGTTACAAGATAGAATTCAAATATGAACCTTTTCAATTTATTGTGCCAAATTCACTAAAATTTTCTGAAATTGAATATGAAGCTGCTCATAGAGAAATAGAAAAATTTTTGAAGAAGAAAATTGTGGAAAGAATTCATGTGAATGAGAATTCATATGAGAATTCTTTTTATTCAAATATTTTTCTGCGTCCCAAGAAAGATGGGTCTTTTAGAATAATTCTGAATTTAAAGAATTTAAATGAGTTTGTTGACAATCATCATTTCAAGATGGAGACTTTAAGGTCCGCATTATCTTTAATTAAACCAAATTGTTGGTTTAGTTCACTGGATATCAAAGATGCTTATTATTCCGTGAAAATTCATGAATGTAGTAGACAATATCTTAGGTTCAAGTGGGAAAGTAAAACATATCAGTTCACCTGTTTACCTATGGGACTAGCTAGTGCTCCACGAATTTTTACTAAAATCATGAAGCCTGTTTTTTCTGAACTTAGGAAATTTGGTCATTTGAATGTTATTTATATAGATGATGTTTTGTTATTGGGCAATACAAAAGATGAGTGTGAAGTTAATTTAAGAGACACTGTTAAGTCCTTGGATAGTCTTGGATTTACCATTCATCCAGACAAATTTCAGTTTTATGCAAGCCAGAATGTTGTCTTTTTGGGATTTTTATTAGATTCGGTTACAATGACTGTTAGACTTACACCAGACAAAGCGTAATCTATTAAAGATTTTTGTGATATGGTTTTGAATCAGAATGAAGTGACAATAAAACAGGTGGCACAGCTTGTAGGCATGTTTGTAGCCTCTGAACCAGGGGTAGAATATGCTAGACTTTATTACAAGACCCTAGAAATTGAAAAAAAGATTTGGCTTTAAAACTTAATCGAGGTAATTTTGAAGCCCATATGACTATTTCTCATCAGAGTGGGACATTACTAAACTGGTGGTCCCTGAATGTGTGTAAATCTTTTAAATCATTAACTAGAAACTCTCCAAAATTTCTTTTCAAAAGTGATAGTTCCAAGTTTGGATGGGGTGGAGTTAATGAAGATTCAGGTGAAGCAATTAGTGGATTATGGGACAAGAATTTTTGTGAGTCACACATTAACTATTTAGAGCTTTTGGCTGGTTTTTATACTCTAAAAGGGTTGGGAGAGAATATTAGAGACTCCCATGTTAGGCTTTGTATGGACAATTCAGTAGCTGTTTCATATGTAAACAAGCAAGGGGGCAAGATCTCAACATTGAATGAACTAGCTCGTGAATTATGGATTTGGTGTATAAATAGAAACATCTGGCTTAGTGCAGAACATGTCCAGGGTGCAACAAACATTATAGCTGATTCGTTATCTCGCAAAAATGTAGACATGGAATGGAAGTTAGATGAAGTGGTTTTTATTAAACTGACAAATCTGTGTGGAAAATGTGATATAGATTTATTTGCATCTAAGGACAATCATCAGTTAGAGAAATATTATTCATATACATCAGACCCAAATGCTGTGGGAGTTGATGCTTTTGCACACTCTTGGAGAAATATTGACTGTTATCTATTTCCTCCTTTTAGTGTCATAAGCAGTGTCTTGAAGAAAATCAAGGAGGAAGAAGTGAAGTTTGCTCTGTTGATAGCTCCAGTGTGGAAGACACAGACATGGTTTCCGCAGTTGATGCATCAAGTTGCAGGTCCGTGTTATCTTCTTCCGAAAACAGAAATCCTCTTGAAATTGCCAAAGGATCCAAAACGACGACATCCTTTGACAAAGATGAAGATGGGTGCGTTCAGTTTGTCCGGCAATGCTTGTATAGTAGAAATTTACCAGAAGACACTGTCAATATTATCTGTGGATCTTGGCGGGAATCCACAAAGAGACAGTATAGGGGTTATCAACAAAAATGGTTGCAGTTTTGTTGTGAAAAACAGAGTGATCCATTTAAAGCAGATGTTAATTTAGTTTTAGAATTTCTTACAGATTTGTATAAGAAAAATCTTGGTTATAGTGCTTTAAATACGGCAAGAAGCTCGTTAAGTTCATTTTTGTCTCTTTTGGGGCATTCTAGTATGAAATTAGGTGATCATATTTTAGTTAAACGTTTTATGAAGGATGTATTTTTGTCAAGACCAACTTTACCCAAATATCATTTTACATGGGATGTAAATAAAGTTTTAGGATATCTTAAGACACTGTCTCCTGTACAGGATTTGTCTTTGTTTCAGTTGTCAAAGAAATTGGCAATGTTATTAGCTTTATTATCTGAACAGCGAAAACAAGGTTTACATCTTTTAGATGTTAGAAATATTTCTGTAAGAGATAATATGTTAATCATTAGATATGGTGATTTGCTGAAGCAATCAAGACCAGGGCATCATTTAGATGAAATTTCTATTGCTGCTTATCCAAATGATACAGATTTATGTATAGTGCATGTATATAGGGAATATATTCATAGAACTGAAAAATTGAGAGGTTCAGAATGTAAACTGTTTATAAGTACCCAAAAGCCTCACAATTCGATTTCTGTGGATACTGTTGGTCGCTGGATCAAGTCGGTTATGACAAATGCTGGAATAGACATGAACTGTTTTTCACCGCATAGTACACGATCAGCAGCAACTAGTGCTGCATCAAAAGCGAAGGTGTCTGTTGCTACAATTCTTAGAACAGCAGGTTGGATAAGTGACAGTACCTTTAGAAAATTTTATAATAAACCAGTTAAACTGTCTAGTGAATTCAGCAATGCTTTGTTGGACAATTTTCATAAGGATAACCTGTAGCATATTATATACTAGTATGTAAATATGTTCATCGTTCTGACTTGGTGAAAATAAAAGGTAATTCATAAATTTGGTTGAGACTTATTTAGAATGTTAATAATGGTTTTTGTAATGTTTTTTATTATTGGGTCATCAACTCTGAAGTCTCATTTGAGACTGAGGCTCTCAATGGGGAAGAATTATTAAGTTAAACGAGACTTACCTGGAAGGTGAAGTTTGACTGTAATTTTTCCACCATTGAGAGACGTAGGGATCAAATGCCCAGCCCTAAAAATTTTTTCTCTTCCAAGTCCCACCCTATTGTTGTGTTAACTTGATGCCCCAATATTTATTACTACTCCTCTGAATTATGATTACGTGACCTTGAACTTCATCTCATTTGATCCCTACGTTTCTCAATGGTGGAAAAATTACAGTCAAACTTCACCTTCCAGGTAAGTCTCGTTTAACTTAATAATTTTAATTTGAAACATCTTTACCATAAAATAGTTTATACATTTTATATTGATTTTATGCACAAGATGAATGTGAAAGCAATTAATGACGCATAATTGGATACGTTAGACAGTCATCTGTTCTCACTTGACATTATTTAGTGTGTGAAATGTGTTTCCGTATAATTTGAGTTATTTACAAAATGTTCATGTTTGTCGTATTGATGTGGAAATATTATAAATTCCCGACTTTGGATATTTTACAGTTTTGTTGTGTTGGGTATGACTTTGAAGAAGTTGCAAATACTTTTAACATTATGAAAAATATAAAGCAGAACGAACGCCTGTTTGGGTGCAGATCATGAAATGCACGAAGTTCCAAGGGTATTTGTTGTCATATGCGCATTAAATAAGACTTCTAGATCGTTACTTGGCTAGTGATACCTTAAGATAACATTCATCTCTAGGTGAAAATTGACTCGGTAAAATGCTCCATCCCATTATTTAAGTTTTATAAAGTAATTACACCGCCTATACCCGATTTCGCGGATACAACGATACCCCGATTTCAGGGACTATACGCGATTTCACGGATAATACCCGATTTCGAGTATTCTCTCCAACCTGTTTAAACTTGCCACATCGTTTAATATACATGGATTCTCTATAATGATTAATATCCCCCCTCCATTCCCATCATCTCCCCAGTCCAAAACTTCTTTAATTAAGGATGCAAATAAGAAAATAATATAGTCATTGATTAGGAAGGAAGTTTTAGACAGTTCTAATTTGGCATATACTCTTACCCTTGCGTCTTTCAAGAACTGTCAAATAATTTTCTTTTCATTCAAGTGTCCAGCGAGGTCTAGAAGATAATTGCTTGTGCAAGCCAAACAATGGGCCCTAATTAGAGTAAATTAACGGTTAAGCATTAGAAACTGAAAAACGGTACATAATTTGAAGGATTATTTGGTTTATAAATGTATATAGTTATCTTACCGACGACGACGATCTTACTGTGGCTGATTTTTTAACTGTGGCGCAAAGGAATTTAACTGTGGCGGGGCCGCCACGTTAAACGGCCCATGGAGAACCCTGATTCTTCAACTTCAGAGGATGTAGTTTTAGATTTATTAAGCTAATTAAGGTAAATTTAGTTACTAGGTACCTAGCTAGTATTTAGTTAATTAGAGAAGTTTTATTCAAAATCAAACAACAAACAAATCATCATGTCAGTAGAAATTTCACAGGAGGAACTCAATCAAATAGCATCAGTGTTTAAAGAATTAAATGTAAAACCAAAGGCAGATTCAGCACAGGATTTCAAACAATGGATGACTCAATATGTTACACAAATGAACGAGGAGGAATTTGTCAATGTAAAGACAGAACCACACACGGATACTGGAAATTCATCAGCATCAGGAAGCACCATCAGTTCCCACATCCCAAAGATCTCTTGCTTTTCTGGAGATGGCGGCAAGAATGACACTACATATGATCTTTGGCGATATGAAGTTGATTGTTTGATCAAGGAAAAGTACAAAGAGGAAACAATTGCTCAGTCAATTAGGAGATCATTGCGAGGAGATGCAGGAAAGGTTGCCATGAGACTTGGTCCTGGAGCCACTGTCACCCAGATACTGGACAAGAGGGAGAGTGTACTCGGCACTATAGAACGAGGAGAAACCATCATGGAACAATTTTACAGTGCTCGACAAGAAAAAGGAGAGGATAGCATGAGTTGGAGTTGTCTGTTGGAGGAGATTTACAGGAAAATTGTTATCAAAGGAGTTGCAACCAAGGACGATGCAAATGAGAAATTAAGATCAAAATTCTGGAATGGATTACATCAATGGATTAAGGATATTACTGGATACAAATTTGATGCACTGACCAATTTTGATGAACTTAGGAAGGAAATCAGACTTGTAGAAAAGGAACATGAAACGAAGAAGGCACAATCAAATATGGCTGTAGCATCAAGTGAAGCTGAGAAAGGAGATGAGATTAAGGAACTTAAAGGAATGATTCAACAGCTTACTACCAAAGTCAATGCTATGGAAGAAGGAAATAAGAGATCAGGACAACAGCGCACAAACAGGAATTACAAAGATTTTGGTGAACCATATGACAGAGTTCAGCCACAGTCCAGAAGAGAAAACCATGGATCTGGAAATTCGTACAGTGGACGTCCTCAATACAGGAATTACAATGGTCCAAGGTATAATCAGGGATACGGCTATGATTATGAGTATGGATATAGTGAGAATCAGGATTCTGCTTTACAAGAAACAGAGGATGGAGAACCTATATGTTATAGGTGCAGACAACCTGGACATATAGCACGTAGATGTCATGTGCGTCTGGACCACAGCAGAAGACATTTAAACACCAGGAGACCTTCGTTGCGGGGCAGACGATAGGTCAGTACAGGAGAAGCCCTAATAGGAGTAGAACCAGTGAATTAGTAGGGAGTACTTCAGAAGTTGAAGCAAGTTTAGAAGGAAACTTAGTCAGAGCATTGATAGACACTGGATCTACTGTGTCAACAGTTAGCTATGATTTTTATATGAAACATCTTAGTCACTTAGAACTTCACCCAATAAAAGAACTTTTAAAAGTGGAATGTGCTAATGGTCAACAATTACCATATCATGGATACATCATTGCTTCCATCATCAGTAATGGATTACCACAATCATCAGAGGAACCACAGTTTCCATTACTCGTTGTATCAACAAGCAATTACAACAGTACAGTACCACTACTTATAGGAACAAATATACTACAACATATGCTAGGTGATGTCAAAGACAAATATGGAGACAGACATCTACAGGATGCTGCATTATTCACACCATGGTATCTAGCTTTTCGAGGAATGACAATACGAGAAAAGAACTTGCTCGCAACAACAACAGACTTGGAATTGTAAAATCAGCTGAAAATCACTGTATTATTATACCACCTAATTCAACAGTTTCTATATCTGGATAAGTCGACAGAGCTATACCATATCAGTCTACAACAGCTGTTCTACAAGCCACATCTCACTCTGTAATTCCATCAGACCTGGATATTGTACCATCACTTACAGACTATACCTATCCAGTCAGTCATGTGATAAGAGTGGACGTTGATAACATCACTACAAGGACAGTACAAGTTCCACCTAAATCTATACTTTGCGAGCTACAACCTGTGAAAGTTGAACCAAATCAGACAGACATTCTTGTTCTAACCTCCAGCAAACCAAAGATGTCCTGAATTTAGTAAAGATTGAAGAAGATGGACTTACACCTTCAGAAATACAAGGAGCAGAACATTTATTAAGAAAGTATGAAGATGTCTTCTCCAAATCAGACACAGACATAGGACACACTAACATCGTAAAACACAGAATTGAGCTACATGACGATACTCCATTTAAACAAAGACCAAGGCATATACCACCTGCCATGTTTGAGG